CAAAAACAAAATCCTTGTACTACTGCAGCCTCGGAGCCTAATCACTACAAAAACAAAATCCTTTTACAACTGCAGCAAGTATTTGTTATAAAAAGGCCAGGTTTGATAACAATTGAAGAAATAAGCAATGTTTTGGTTTGCTTCTATATTCATTATTATCTTTATTTCTAGAATGATTATGTTATTTGTATCATTAAAGCTAGGCACCTTTTGCAATAAAAAAAATATTTAATAAATTTTAAGAGTTATTCGTACAAAAGAGATTTAATTATTTTGATCAATTATATTTATACTTAGTGATTAGGAAGTGATTAAGAAGTGATTGCATAATTTATAGTTGCATATTTATATATATGATACTGCCTTATTAACTTTATACTAGTTGCTTGTTTTTATAATAAATTAAATTGTATTGGAAAAACAAGTTTTATGTTCTTGTACATTTTGTCGAAGTGTATCTAATAATATTGAAAAATATGTAAGTATCTCTACTCGTACAAAATATCAGTGACAAAAAAAAAACTTCAAGATATACCTATATCTACCTACTTATAAATTATGATAATATACATCATAATAAATTTGAAATCAAAAATCACATCTTCATTTCTTTACTTTCTATATTAATAAACAATTTTACTACTAATTTGTTAGAGAGTGCATTTGATTATAAAAAAAATATTAATAGTTATTTTCAAAATAGAATTGAATTAATACAACTACTTTGTATCAAATTATTATTATATTGTGATTAGTTGTATCCATCAACTTCTGGATTAGCATAACAATATTTGTAGTCAATTACTATATGCTTGTAAGAATACTATTATTATTTTACCGTTCTCAAAAGATTTTAATAATAGATAGTAAAAAATTTAAACTGTGTACAAAGTTATAATAATATTCTTATAAGAACTTTGAGAACACTAAGCTCAAATACTAATTTTGATCAAATTATTTTAATAAGGAAGTAGATTAACAGGAACCATTATTTTGTAGGTTCTGAACTAAAAAAATACCAGAATTTGAACTAAAAGAAAATATTGGTGGTAAATTAGAAAGAAGTAGAGACAATGAATTAAAAAGATATGATAATGGTGAATTGAAAGGAAGTAGTGATAATAAACTAGAAAGAAGTAGTAAAGATAAACTAAAAAAAAGTAATGACAATGAGTTAGGAGGGAGTGATGATAAACTAGAAAAAAGTAGTAATGATGAACTAGAAGAAAGTGGTAATGATGAACTAGAAAGAAGCAGCAATGATAAACTAGAAAGAAGTATCATAATGAACTAGAAGGAAGTAACAATGTGAACTAGAAGGAAGTAGTGACAATAAGCATATTTCTGCAGATATTAGTAATAAATACTCTGAATTAATAATTTTAAAATTAGAAAAATCTATTTTCATCTGACAAACTATAATATTATTAAAGTAACTAAAATTAATTGTATTAGTAATATTTTAGGTAACTTTAATCTAGCTAAAAATAGAATTCTCTTTAAAAATACTTAATGCTAATACATGTTTTTTTTAATTAGATCTATTGGATGATTTAATTTAGAGTCTTCGTCTTTTATATATCAAAATAAGCATTCTTTATTAAACCAAGCATTTAATGAAATTAGGAATATATTTAAAATTTCAAAGATATCTTTATATAAGCTTCAACAAATGTTTAAAAACTTAATTTTATTTGAACCAAATCTTGTTGATATGTGCTGAAATTCTTGTAGCTTATTTTATATAGATTGTGAAATGTGCTCTAATTGTAGAGAACCACAATATATATCTGGACAATCATTAAAACAAGCTCAGAAATTAGTCATCTATTTCTTTGTAATAGATAGTTTACAGATGCAATATAAGGATCTATTACATGCAAAACTTCTTTGTTATTAATATGAATATACCTCCAGAGAGAAATATTTATCAAATAATAGTAAAATTGGTGATATTTTTGATGGCAACCAATACAAGTCTCTAGTTCAATCAGGTCTGTTTTCAGATCCTCACGATGTTGCTCTAATTGTATCTACAGATAGATATCAATTATTCAAAAAAAAGCAAAATGATTGTTGGGTTATTTTACTTCTAAATACAAACTTGCCTCTATCTCTAAGAATTAAAAAAGAAAATTTAATGATAGTTGCAATTATTTCAAGCCCAAAGTTACCAAAAGATTTTAATAGCTTCTTATGGCTGATTATAAAGGAACTAAAATGTCTTGAAGATATTTATTAGACAATCAAATTTTAATACTTTGTTTATGACAAAAGTTTTAAATAAATCTGGCAGATCTTTTTTTCTAAATTTATATAAGATTTTACAAAATTAAAAAAATTTTAAACTTCATTCATAGAGATTGTATCCATCATAAATTTTAGTTCAGATAACAAACTGAATTATAAATCAGATAACCTAAATAAATATAATTTTGGGTTACCCAATTTATTACTAATATACTGTGAAAGATTGCTTATCAAATAAAGAATACATTAGCACTAAAACACTTTAAACATTTCTGTATAGAAAACATCTAGCTACTATAGTATATTATTTTAGTATCTAGATTTTTCCAGAGCATTTCAATATTTTATAAGATTACAATTAAAGGTAAGTTTCTTGTTCAGATTTTATTATCATAAAGTTTAATCAATGTAAAGTTTTAACATATAAGAGTTACTAATTACTAAATTTTTTTCTTATATGGATATCGATCTATGCTAGTCATAGGGCAAAAAAGCTATATTATAAAATAACAAGCGAAAAAATTTCATATATATTAAATAAACAAAATATCAGTTTCGAGTTATTAGATAAATAAATACAACCTCTACTTACTTATTTATTAAAATATATTGAATTAATTTTTAAAAGGTTTCAAATTTTGATCTTGCCAGGTTAAGAAAAACCAATTAATTGATTTTGCATAGTCTTGCATTCAAATTTATAAAATAAATAACTTGTATAAAAATTTTTTCTGTAGCAGGTATACCATGCTATGACGCCTTATCACAAAGATATTTATATTACGTGACTATATATTATTATGGTCTGAAGACATTCTGACTTTATCCAAAATAATATTCATTTCTAATCATAATGTTTATAATGGATATTGCTTTTGCTACTTGTATAGAATATATTTTGAAATAGAACGGCATATATATTTTTTACTTTCACTACCAAGGAGCATAATAGTATAATGTATGATCCAAATAATTTACTGATATATTTCTATACTAGCTACGGTCAGATATTAGAATGATAGAAAACAAAAGTAAAGCTAAACTATATAGAATAGAACATGAAACAGTTGTAAATAGGTATAGTATTTTATTTGAATTATATTTTATTAGCTTTTCAGCATTGTTCCCAATCATATGCTTTTCAAAAATACTGCTCAACATATGTTTAATCACTTTTCTGGTAAATTTTTTAATAATAAAGAACTTAACAATGCCAATTATAAAGTTTCAGCCAATAGTTAGAATAAAATTGGAAAGATTATAGAACTTAATCACAAAATGATGCCTATAGAATTTGGAAGATCTCTAATTAATATTCATAAATACTATACTGTTTTTAAAGCAAAGGATTGGGTATAATTAGACAGTCCTATATTCACTTCTGCTTTTTCAGAAACATCTTTCAAAAAGATAATATAGTTTATTCTGTCAAAACTAATATGTATGATATGGTTCATGTCACTTAATATTTTTTCAATGGTATTAAAAATATAAACTATAAAAATAGTAAATCTGAAGCTTCTTTTTCAGATTTATGGTTTATTTTTTAATTGTTATTTGATTAAGTATTTAAGACTAAAATTAAGCAGTTTTTCAAATTTCAGTTCAAATTTACAGACATTTAAATGGGTAGGCAAAGTTTGTTAAAGCAACACAATTATATCTTGAACTAGTTATTTTCAAAGAGCAACTTGAAGAAATAAGAATCTTCTTTATAAATTTTATTAATTACTATAAAAGGTAAATTATTTTAAGACTTACGCAAGATAATATTTGAATTTATTTGAATAAAACTATCAATAACTCTATCTTTTTATCTCAATCTTCTACTGCTACCTTTAATACTGCTTTTCTTTTTAAAGATCTTTATAAACTTGCCAACCAAGCAGAACAAAAATTCATCAAACTTAACAAAAAACTTATTGAATCCAAAAGGTCAAAACTCTCTGAGCCAGATTCTAAAACCCAAAGCTCTAAACGAATTTCTTTCTTCTTCTACAGTTATTTTAAAGAATACTTAAAAATGGCTACAACTAATGATCAAATTACTGATCTTAATCTTAAGAAAGCTCTCAACAAATTATCCTTAACAACTACAGATCACAAATCTTAGCCAGAATTATTGCCTACTACGATATTACTCAAATTTTCAAACCAACTATTGTAAACTTTAAAAAAAATCTCAAGAAATCATACCTTGACCAAGCAAATCAATATATAATCAAAAAGTTCAAGATCTCTA